CCCCCCGATCTCTCACCAGAAGCAAAGAATAAATTAAAAACCTTCTCCAGAGCTATAGCCATGAGAAGTCCAACATCCAAGCTCATTAAGTCTACAGGTCTCTGCATATATCAGTTCTCATCTATTCCAAATCCCCAAATATTGGGTGACCCAGTGATTTAAATGTGAACAACAGCAGTGTGGCAAATCCCCAAACACTACCAGGGAAGGGCTGGGTAGGGAAAAACATCAGGAAGATAACACAGAGACAAGCAAGAAACAAGTACACTGGGAAGAGAATAAGTAGCATGGAGCACTGGAGCCTGGAGGGTTGCAATCTTGACCCATCTTATTACAGTCCTGAATATTCTCATACTGAGTCTGTTCTATGGATACGGAGCTTCTGTTTCCAGGTCTGTCAGCACAGTTCAATTCAGAAGCCATTTGTTGATTTAAGCATTAAAACATGCAACTTTGTGCTGTTTTAAAACAAACCCCCTCTATCTCCATGACTTATCCATTACAAAACATGATGTCATCAGTGACTCAGAATTTCTCTTGAGCTGTCAAAATTCCACCTCATAAACTGGTGAATCTTATCTCTTTGCATCCCTCTCATCCCACAAAACATCAGATGGGAGAAGTTTGTTGTGGTTTCTGCTGGCGGTAAATCAGTGCACTCTTGGAAGCAGAGGAGGTTTGTTGGTTTTGGATAGACATAGAGACTCAGATTACCATGCATTCATCAGAGTGAAATAGATTTATATTGATGCCAAGAACAACATGCACTGTTCTGTTTATAGCATAATGGTTTAGCAATTAAAGAAAACACAGTTTTAACACGCAAAGGAAAGGGGTACCTGTGATGCTTAATACTGGTCCTGGCCTAACTTATTCTGCTCAGGATTTGATCAGGAGACTCTTTCTTGCCTTTTTAATGACAAATCTGGATCACAGTCTCTAATGGGCATTAGAGATATGTTGACTGTGAAAATAAGTTAGGGACTGTTTACATTTAAAATGCTACAGTGGCACAGCTTCAGCTGTAGCGCTTTAGCATAGACACCACTTTCACAGATGGGATAGGCTATCCACCTCTCAGAACATAGACACTATCTCCCAGCAGGGGAGCAGACAGCTATTCTGGATTCCTGGGCAAGGTGAGGGGGGAGGCTCCTCCTCCGGTCAGCCGGCCTGCCATTGGCATAGGTAATCCACCTCCCTCAGAGGGGTAGCTAGGTTGACCTAAGAATTCACTCTTTGACCTAATGCAGTCTACATGGGGGCTTAGATCAGCTTAACTACATCACTCAGTAGTGTGGGTTTTTCACACTCCTGAGAGCTGGTCCACCCTAATTTTTCGCTCACACGCTATGGACCAGATTTTCAAACTTTTCACACCCAAACTGAGGTTATATTTTCAGAAGAGTTCTGCTCACAATTAGGCACCAAAATAAAGGGTCAGATTCTTTAAAAAGCTTCTCATGTTGGGTGTGGAGTTTTTTCAAAAATTTAATCTTGTCACAATGGGAGCTGCTGGTGTAACCCACACACCTAGTGGTTCACTGTTCCACGTAGTGACACAGACCACTTAATGGGGAGAGATAAGAATGAGAGCCAGCTGGCTTTATAGCTCAAGCTAGAGAGTAGGGGTGGGCAAAAGGGTCTCCACGGGTTGGATGCGGTCTACCAAGCAGGTTGATCCAGCCTGCTGAGGCCCTGCTTCTGCCCCACCTCCAGGCCAATTAGGGTCTGGGGTGGGGGAAGTGCACGCAGTTTCCTCCTCCATGACAGGAGCACGTAGCACATTGAAATGCAGCGTGCTTCTGGCAGGGTGAGAGGAGATTTCAGGCACTTCCCCTGCCCCCAAGCCCTGATTGGCCTGGGGGTGGGAGGAGCCTGTGAAGTTTCCTCTGCTCTACCACCACCCTGTGAGGTGCATGTGGCACTCCATGCGCTCCTTGCAGGGCAGGAGGAGGCTTTGCATGCTCTCCCGCCTCCAGGCCAATCAGGGCTTGTGGGCAGGGTAGTGCATGAAGTCTCCTCCCATCCTGCCAGGAGCACAGGACAGAGGAAACTTTGTGCGCTTCCCCCACCCCCAGGCCCTAATTAGCCAGGAGGCTGGGGGAGCATGTGAAGCCTCTTCCCTCCCTGCCAGGGGCATGGGTGCTTAGTGGGAAGGGGAGACAAAGGGGTTCCCCCACCCTCAGACCAATCATGGTCTGTAGGCAGGGAATGCCAGAAGCATCCTCACCCTGCCCTTTCCGGGGCAGCTCAGGGCCACTTCAAAAAATTCTGAAGTGGCACCCAGCCAAAAATTATTGCCTACCCCTGCTATAGAAGCTCCTTTACTAAGCTCCAGAGGTTCCATCTTTGACTCCCCCTGCAGGTACATCTCTAAAAACGCTCCCCTTGTGTGTGTGGAACTCGTGAAAATCTGGCCCTGCAGATCCAATTCTGTTTGCTAGTACAGGGACTGCAGGATTGGGCCCTAGAGGCAGTTTCTACATTTACCTTATCCTTCGAGAAGCTGAAAAGCTGTTTTCGTTCCATAATGAACTGAACAGCTATTACACTGGCTGAATGGCCTTGAAGAACTCCAGCAGGTTTCGATGTGACGTAGGGGTTCCAGAGGCAAACTCGGTGATTGATGCCAGCAGTAGCTGTTCACAATCACAAAACAAAATAGATTAAAACCAAAAGTGCTCTTGAAAGGGGATTTTATTTCAGTTAATAATAAAGAAGCTGCCATCTCTCTGAAACACATGGTGATAATGACTTTGAGAAATGGGTGTGTGTGTGTTTATGTTTCAAGTGACTATGTGAGAGTAGTAGTGACGACAATAATTAATAATGCATAACAGCTTCCATTGTGATCCCATCTGCAGTTACTCAGAACTTCCCTAAACTTGCACTTTTTAGTAGAAATTTCTCTTACATCCTTCCCCCAACTGACATGTCTTCCTCTTCATAAGCCAGAAATATAAAACATCCTGAGATAAATATAAAACACTAGGACACAGTCATTCACTTTTGCAGGCAATATGCAGACAAAGGAATAAAATGCCTATACATGAACACATACGGTCCTAAACCTTTTCTTGCCCCCTTATACTTTACAATATAAATTAGCAAGTTTTTTAAAACATACCAATTAAGTTGAGTCGAGAGTGGAAATCAAAAGCATTAATTCCCTGGGCGATGTCGAAGGATGTAGTTTTAAGATGAGGTTTTATTTTTTCTCTCCAAGCCAGCACCAATGTGTTAACATTATTGGTTGTACTGGAAATAAAGGCATCTAAAGAGGAACTGTATGCAACTAATTGATGAAAGAAGAAAGAGAGAGCCTTTGAATTGATTTATTTTAATATAATCCAATCAGAGCTCGTTTTATAAAGAACAAGATATATAAAATCTAAGTCTAACTAAAAAACAACTTTTGAGGTCAGCGATGAAACTGACCTTGACTTCAAAGAAATTTGGATCAGGCCTGCATGGCTCAATCCTGCAACATGCTGAGCATGCTGGCCCTGATCCAGGATTACTCACACATGTAAGTGTTTTGCTGGATTGCAGCCAGAGTTTTCAGCACATTTCAGGGATGAGTCCATAGATGACAATGACAAACAATATACAGTGTGGGTCTAATTGCAAGGTACTCAGTGGCTTCTTGAAGTTCAGTGATATTAGTGGGTGTTTGATACTTTGTAAATGGACAGATAGAATCTAACGGAAATGAGGTGAAAATAAATCACCCTGACTTGCTGATACAATGAAGTCTGATTGATATTTTTGGTATAGAGATTTAATGAACCATGCAGAACACTATATACTGGTAAACAGCTAACTCTCCATGCAACAATCCCTGGTGAACTACAGCGCTTTTCCATTGGGTTCTGATCCCTGAGCTCCACGGGGAGCTTATATATAAAACTGGTGACATAATATGGTCCCATGTTACTAGGTTAGTTATTCCTCATTCAAAAATAAGGAGGAGTCCTGTTGGCACCTTAGGCTATGTCTAGACTGCAAGCCTCTTTCAAAAGAGGCATTTTCAAAAGACACTTTCAAAAAAGAGCATCTAGACTACAACCAGTACTTTCGAAAAAGCAAGCCACTTTTTTGAAAGAGAGCACCCAGGCAGTCTGGATGCTCTCTTTTGAAAAAGCACAGCTTGCATTTCATAGCGCCTTTTTTCAAAAGAGCACTTTCAAAAAATAGCATTCTTTCTTGTAAAACAAGGTTTTCCGTGGTCGAAAAAACTGCCACGTTCTTTCGATTTACTGTCGACAGATTGTGGGAGCAGTCTAGATGCAGATAAAGATTTTTCGGAAAAAGGCTACTTTTTTCAAAAAATTCCTGTAGACTAGACACACCCATTAAGACTAAGGGATTTATTTGGACATAAAGTGGTCTTTACCCATGAAAATTTATGCTCAAATAAATTTGTTAGGCTATGTCTAGACAGTGGTGCTATTTCGAGATACCGGAAATATCCCAAAATAGCTATTCCATGTCTTTAAACGTGCCCACTATTTCAAAATAGTAGGCATGCTATTCCTACGTCCCTGTAACTCTCGTTCCATAAGGGTTAAGGGATTTGTCAGAATAGTGCTTTATTTTGACATTTGGTACTGTGTAGACAGTGCCAAATGTTGAAATAAATTATTGCAAAATTACCTCAAAATAAGCTATGCAATTTGCATAGTGCAAATTATGTAGCTTATTTCGAGGTAAGGGTACAGTATAGACACACTCTTAGCCTTTAAGGTACCACAGAACTCCTCACTGTTTTTGCAGATACAGATTACTCCTCTGAGACTTAATCTTCATTCAGTAAGCAGTACTGAAATCTAAAGTCTACTTTATACAATAATTATTCCTACACAAACCCATGGTAACACTACAGCATAATTATTGTGTGATCAAAAAAGGCAACTATTGGGGAAATTACTTTGTTATATTTCCACTCTAAATTCAAATGAATTACAATTCTTGCTCTGCAGTCCATCAGGAAAGACTAATTGGAAATCTGAAACTCAGAATGTTGCCCTAGGACTTGGAGTTTATAAGTGACTTTTGTGAGAACAAGATGTACGTTTCAGGAGCATGTGATTTGCACAGTTTGTTACAAAGACAAACTCATGTCTGACTAAACTGTATTGTAAGTCAAGCTCCCTCAAGAATATTTGACTAAAAAAGCAAGGTTAAAGGAATTTCAATAATATCATAGTATGTGGCAAAAATAAAATGCTCATCTGCATGTAGAAGGAGAAAAGGGGAGGCGTGGTAAAGTGAGATAGAAAAAGCTTCTTAACATCAGACAACCAAAATATTGCCAAAAATATCTGAATCTGCACTGAAAAGAACGTCATTTTATTTCCAAATGTTTTGAAATGAGTAGCTTTGTCTTTGGAAAGTGCTCTATAAAATATTTTCTAGGTCTAGATCCTTAGTTACTGTAAATTAGCATACCTCTACTGATTTATTTTATACCAAGTTCTAACTCCAAAGTGTTCTTACAACAAGCATGATGAACAATTTTTCCTATTCACAAACATGGAAAACCCTAATATTTCTCTCCGATATTATCAGAAAAATTAGGGATCTAGTATTAGACCTAATTAGATCAGTAAGCCATTGCACATGGAGAATACAGCCCCATAATAGTGGCAGTATCACAAATTAAAACAGATAAACATTGGACCCAGTGCTACCTCTGTTTTCTATTCTCATTGATGCACTTTTGGCTAGGGAATCCCTTTGTGTTCATCTTTGCAAACAGTGTCACGTGGCTGTCCATGGTTCAATAACTTTTGCAGAACCACAGCCAAGTGCATGATCCCATGGGACCAGCAAATTTAAGAAGAGTCAAAGATGCTTTGGAACTGCCACCCAGGACCTTGTGGATTTCACATTGTATGAAGATTCCTTTGTGGTCTGAGTCTCTCTGTTTCATCCTTTCAGCAACGGCAACAAGCCATACTGTGATTGGCTGTCCTGCTCTCCAAGGCAACTACAGTTCATGTATATGCTGCAAAAGCCAGGAAGAGTGAATTAGGGCTTGTTCAGATGGATTTTTTTTTAGGGTAAGAATCACTGAGTATGCTGAGCAAGCATTTCCCAACTCCTACCCCCATGCTCTGTGGCCACACAATATTATGTTACAGCCGCAAAGGGGCTTTGTGATGGGATGAAGCCATCCCTGGAGCAGCTTTCCCTTTCATCCAGCTCCCATGACTCACATTATGCTGGATTCTTCCCATTTTGCTCCCCTGTTTGTGAAGCGGGGAAGAGCCTGTCCACCCTTTCCTGGATCTACTATCCTTCCCACTAAAATATTACCTAACATTTCTGCCATTCAGCCATGCCCCTTCTCACCATTGTACTACCACCACAGTTTAAATACTCTGAGTACATTTCTTTATATTTTGTTCAGGAAGCTCAACAAATCCAAAATATTCCTTCCCATCAAGAAAGCAAGTAACATCTTTCACCTTTCCTTCTTTAGCACGTTTTTGAGACTATAGAAGAGATTGGTTTTCCAAGGCGCGAATGGCAGTTGGGCACCTTTATCACACTGAAAGTCCTAGGGGCCTAAAACTTGTACTTTTGAAAAAATCTACCCCCTCATGCCCAAGTGTGCTGTCAACAATTCCACTGACTTCAATGAGGGTTTGTCTGTGCTAGGACTATAGAATGGGGACCTTACATTCTGTTTTCCTCTCTCTATGATAACACCTTCTGTTCCATAGTAACACAGCTTGTCTTGCCACAAAATTATTCTGCTATTTAGGAAAAAATATCATTTTGCTATACTGTTTGCATCCTTCTCAGTGAATTAGAGCCCATTCCCATGAATGACAGACAAGAACACTTTTTCTTTCTTTGAAGTCTTCATGTAAGTTGATCTAATTCCATCTTTAAAAAAAGAAACACAAATACTATTTATACAGTAAAACTCCACTAGTCCGGCATCCAATAGTCCGGCACTCCTGATAGTCCGGCATCAAAATGGCAAGAGCCTAGTGAGTGAGCTTCGGCAAAAAATGAGTCACAAGGTAACAGCGGCAGCAGCTGAACTGAGCAAAAAGGGTAAAAAAGGGTATAAAAAACTAAAACATTACAGTATACTGTATACAGTATGTACAATAAAAAGGGTTAAGAACACTTTATATACAGTATATAATGTATACAGTATATATATAACCATCTTATAGTACCTCCTGATAGTCCGGCATATCTGATAATCCGGCACCACCTAGGTCCCATAGGTTCCGGATTATTGGAAGTCTACTGTATTTGCCTTTTATCTGTAATTCCAATACATTGAATGAACCATTTCCCTGTACTGTGAGTTTACCAAACCATTCCCTCCCCAAATCTGTAACCTTAGCCTCAGCAGACAAAGGACAAAGAGTAAAGGACATCTAAGGCTATGTCTATACTGCAGAGTTTTTCTGCATCCAGGGAACACATTTGCTCTTCGAAAATGTTTTTTGGAAGAGCAGACACACTTTTTTGGCATCCCTGTAAACCTCATTTTACGACAGGATGTTCTGAAAAAGGGTTTTTTTCTGACATTTGGCCCAGTGTAGACGGGCCAAATGTTGGAAAAGCCTCTTCTGAAAAAAGAAGTGGAAAAATCTATGCAAATTGTGGTTCGCAATTTGCATAGTTTTTTCCAGAAGAGCAGTGCAGTATAGAAAAAGTAAGTGACACTGACTATCTATAAAGTATTTAATCAGGGTCTCAGGTTCGATCTACTTTTACTAGCCATATTGTTTCCTCTGTTATTTTCCCTTCAACTTTAATACATTCTAGATCTCAAAGATCCAACATCATTTGGAAATGTTGAGCTTGTATTTATTCCCTCTGCTTCTCCTCCACCCCATCATGCTCCCCTTAATGTCTTCTTCCCTTGTGGTAACTCAAGTATGACTAGAAACTATCAATATTGCATTTCTTGTAGGTTTCTTTTAGTCTATCATCTCTCCTTCTGTATATGAACCACTTGGACAACTTATTTAAAGCCCATTAAGTATGCATAATTTCCTCCTCCAGCTACCTCCCCCTGATTAGTATTTCAAGGTTATTTAATACCACATCTGTGATACTCTCCATTCAAAATTATACATATTCAATCTGAGAAGAAAGAAAAAACTTTTCTGCAAAGATGGATTTACTTCTATTGCAGTGCTCCATGAGCGGTTCTGTAGGAAGGGCTTAGGTGATTTGTTTTTCTTGGAAAAGAAAAAGTAGACATGAATAATTCTGATGCTTGGATAAAATTATATGGATAATTCAGAATCCAGGGGA